TGTGTGTGTGTATGCGTATACATGGAGGGGTTACATAAAGATCAGAGCAGACTACAAACGTGAGCTATTCTTTCCAAATTTTATACGTTGCTTGAGTTATAAAAAATTAACTTCGCCCAACTCAGTAAACTCCCTTCCCTCTTTGTTCATATTCACTCTAGTATATCCATCATTTTTGATCCTCTACTGATTTCCATTGTTGGGGCTTATTTTCTGTGACTTGAGAACCTGAAATTACGCTATATATCTTTGTAGCTCATTGAACTAACCAGCATTTATTTTAATTTAGTAAGGGAACATTTGGCTGGGTGTGACCAAATAAATACTGTGTCTAAACCAACACAAATATACTTTGCACAAAGCTATAAACCTGTCTCAGAGCTCTAATGATATTGCAAGTCAATGAAGCTTCAGTGTTCTCATTAACATGATTCCATCAGACCTCTATGTTGCATATTATTAATTTTTAACTATAGATTGTAATATAATTTATAGCACTGTGGGGCAACAAAGATTGAATCTTGGTAGGAATCCAACCTTCTGGGTTGATAATGGCTTTAACACTGACCTAATATTGAAAGGTGAACTTGTACAGAGGCCATCAGACCTAATTATAAATAGAACAACAAGGAGAAAACACATCACTAGTCTGTATCAGTGAAGACCAAACTTTCCTTGAGAGCAACGGGCACAGATCTTGTCAAAACATTATGAAGAGTTTTGTTTCTGATTTTGACACAAAAAATAATAAAGACCTTTGTTTTAAAGAAAGACATGAACACACTTTCCCCTCTCCCAAAATATAATGTTTGTTATAAAAGGAATAAAACATAGAATAGCTGAAGTTATTCTGGGTATCTATTGTTCAATGCAATTTGGAGGTAGGAGCTAGTAGGAACAAGCATATTTTTATGAAGAAAAAGTAAACCTTGGAAATCTCTGCGGAAATCTGTTAAGACGATGACATCAGTAGACTCCCATTGCTCCTCTCCATAGTTTGCTGATGCACGAGAGTGAGCACAACACTTTCTGCTACAGACAGCAGATCATGGTCCTCAGCACTTCGCTGAGCACTCAGCGAGCCCTCGTGGTCAGACCTCTGGGTGGGAGAGAACACAAACAACTACAAAATGCATTTAACCCAAGTAAGGGTAACCTCTTGTGAAAGGCAGCACGATACCATTTTCTGGTGTAAAAGGCATTCTCATCATCAAAATATGCTTTAGTATTGCTTACATGTATTTCCTAATTCAATCTTTTGTGCACTATCTAGCAATACAGTACAGTGGTAATAATGTAATTAGTATTTTCACTAGCTAAATTATAGAGCTGACTGCAGAATACAGCATAGTAGCATCAATATTAACAGTTAAGTATTATACAAAAATGACATCAATAGTTTTAGTATAGTCATGAGAGACATCGTAATTTGCTGTTTCTCCAAAATCCCTTCAAATTGCGTCAGATGAGGCGACTCACAAAATCCACTGGCTTTTAGTTCAACTCAAATTCTAAAATTCAGCATCTCAAAGATTTCTTAGGTAAATTTTCGTAGGCTCTTCGGCAATATTCCTTTCTGAATATGGTATTGGTTATAAGGAAGTTAAGTTCTGCTGCATCAACCTCTCATATGAATTTAATTTTCCCAGCACTTCTGCAAGTTAACAAAGGAGTATAGCAGATACTTCACAGCTGAAGATGATGATACACAAGGATTTGTAATAATTATCCAAGACCGTAAGAGCAATCCTATGTCAGGGTAAGAAGTGGAACCACTGGCTTTGCAATCTAGTGCTAACCCCGTATTTCCTTTCTTCCTGGGTCACACAGTGAGGTCTAAAACTTTAACAACCAAGATACCAAACAGCAAGCAGCCATTAAGGAAGATACTGAGGTGAGCAGGGTTTCACAGATTCCTCACCCGAAGGGACAATAGTCAGCCACCCCTAATGCCCAGAAATCAGAGGGCTCCAATTTACACCAGAAGCCGTATCCTCCCTGTCCCACAGCATCCTCCATGCCTTAAAAATCCCTTTTGGCCAAGCTAATTCACAACCTCCTACACCAAATCAAGAATACTGAGGATCTACCCACACTCCATCCACTTCCTAATTACAGTAACTTTATGCTTTATTTCACAAAAGGAGATTCTTTTTTCCTTCACCAGTTCCATTCAGCTCCTTCAACATTTTGTTCATTTGTTTGTTAAGATGCAGATCTCCAGCAGATTGATCACTTCAGATGAGACAAAGCAATCCCTTGGTAAATCCCTCTGGAAATGCAGAACATATTACATGCACAAGAGTTGAACTCCTTGAATTTCCCCTTTTCAGATCCTCTTGGTTTCCAGTCATTCAGATAAAGAATGGAGCTTTTGTAGGCCAGTTAATCCATCCACTGAATGAAATATGGTAAAGTTTTACACATCCACATGTTCTTTCAAGTCTCTGGTCTACGTCTGTAGATGTAATAATAGCTGTAGTTAATGTAGACAAAAATCATGGCTTGGGCCCCCAGAGAAGATCTTTAAAAACTTGGGTTGAAAAGTCCCAATGCAGCAGTCAAAGGAACTGGCAAAATGATTTAAGGGCTGTCTCCGCTTACATTTATTTCTGCCAAAGCACTGGCTTAATTTTCTTTGTGTGTCTTAATAAGCCACCTCTGTGAGAGGGACTCTTACTCGAAATGCTTATACGTCCCAAGCTCAGAAGTAGGCACTGTTGAGTGGTAAGCTGAGACAAACATCCCAAGGTGGTGTCAGGCTCAAGCTGCAAAACGAGCCTGTTCATCTCCTCTAGCATCACAGTCACAAGCTAGCATGAAAATAGCATTTGCATAATGAATTAAAATGCAAATTTACATTTTATTCTATGAAATTGAGACAAACGATACACACTTGAAGCCTGCCAGAGCAGCAATTAGAAACATTAATATAGTTTTAGATGATGACTTAAGCCAAATGAGAGCTGTGTACATCAGAGCTCGTGAAACGCTTCAGGTAAAAAGCCCTAGTAACGTAAGCCTAAAATACAAATTAGCAATAATTCTGCCGTTAAGGGCTAGATCTGCCTTGTGTAGACACTTACCTCCAGGGGAGACTCCAGCCACGAGGTGTACGTACAATGCAGGGAAGCACCTGCCAGCAAGTGAGAGCTGAGGGGGTCTCAAACGATGTAGGAGAGGGCTTTGCACTGCCAAAGTCTTAATGGGATGTGGCATCGCCCAGGAGAGTCCTGTGACAAGAGGCCAAACAGCCACTGGCCTAGGACAGAGCTGCCTAGCTGGTGTAAAGATGTATTTATGCTGGGTCTGATGGAGACCGTGCTCCGCACAATCAGACCACTTTGAAGGTTTGCCTTGTGCAATCACGTCCTTTGTCAGGAATCAGCAAAAGACTGTGAAAAGACTGTGAACAAATTGTTTGGGCATTGAAATTTAACCCTGTGGAATCCTTACAGTGTAGCACAGTGTGACACAGCAGGAGCACATTTGTCAGGGGACTGAAGCCTCTTTGCTCTCTGCGCACAAAACATATACATCAGCATTGTGTGGTGTGGGTGTGCTCCCCAGCACGTGAGGCAGCTACAGGGACACAGCTCCATGTCTACCCTGCTTCCCATCTGCACTGCAACTGCATCCAGCTCTCTGCACCACTGCTGCTCCAATCAGGGAAAATAAAGCCTTCAGATCCTTCAAGACTGTCTGAAAGCCCTTCCATTACAATTTATTTTAGAGATCGTACAAGATTTGCTTTTCAAATATCCACAGTGCACGTGAGAAAATGATTGACTATTACACCAATCTTTTTAATAGACCAAATGTTTTCCCACTAACATCCTAGCATTACTAATGTCAGAATACAAACACCAAAAACAAAAAGGCGTTTGGCAGAAGCTAGTCCGTTCCAAGACTTTTCACTCTGATGTGGAATAAGGAATGAGCCCAGCCGGAGTGTTTTCTATACCAGTGTTCATGACACCACCAGTTTCCATCTCAGTCAGGCTCCATACAGCAAGGTGCTGTGCATCCCCTGCTCCCCTTGGAGAGCAGAGTCTGAGAGCACCAAGCACCTCGCAGCAGGAGCACAGCCCTCTGTAGCATCTGACCTTAACACAAGATAGACCATCAATGTTTTTGTGAACTGCTGAAAAATATGCTGACAAGAACAAAAGCAAATAGTCTTCTGGAATTTGGCAGAGAAAAGCCATTCTAAATCATTTCCAACTGCAATAAGTCTTTGCTCCTGTTTTACGAGTAATAGAAGAGACTATCCCTGTTTTATAAACTCATTCAGTTAATATGTTTAAGAAAGTAGACAAGTTTCTCTCCTGTGGGGGTTTTCAAATATTGTCTTTCCTTGTGGCTGCCAGTATTTCAACATCCCGTTCCAGAAACACTGTTTATTACTCTTTGGGAAAAAAAAAAAAAAAAAAAAAAAAAAAAAAAATCCCACAAAAAACTGCTGCATACAAGGAGAAGAAAAATGGTTAGAAGAACAAAAAATGGTAAATGACAGTTACATATTAGGAAATACTAAGGAGTTGTGTGCTGCTCCCCGCTGCTACAGTACACCAGAAGAATAAGCAGAATGTAAAAGTCTTTTCACTTTACATAAGAAGGCAGAAATATTTCCAGGATGTTCTACAGACAGGCAAGAGGCTCATACCTCTGTAACCTCCAGCTCAATGTGATCTGCAACTTCAAGACTAAGTTCCAAGCGTGCTTCAACTCAATTCTGCAGCAATTTCAGCTCTTGGAGAATAAGTACTGAGCAACCGTAGTCCCACCACTCAAATCAGTGGGTCGGCTTCCCTTTGTGCCCATGAAAGTTCTAAGTTCACTCTGTTCTTCCCAAGTGGAACAACAATGCACACACCAAACAGTGCATTGCTCCTTCCCTCCACAGTGACTCCTGCCTTAATTAGGAGGACTTTTGCACAAGAGGTTATTATCTACCATGCCAGGACCACCACGCTATCATATCATGCAGAATCCAGCCCTTTCATCATCATCAGATCTGATAATGTCTTTATTTAGCAGCTACTAACATCTTTGGAGATACAAAATCACACCACATTAGTTTCTGAAAGGTAGCAGTAGGAGATATCTCAGTGCAGAATGGATTCTATAATTAGAAAAAGCACAGGGGCCAGCTTTTTCCCCCTCATCAAGCTTGGGAAGCTCTAAACAATATGCAAAGGCAAAAGGGGAAAATGGTTACAGTACTGAGAAGGCTAAAATTTGAATGAGATAATAACAAACCTTTCTTGTGGAAGGAAAAGGAAATGACTGATTCTAAAAAAGCTTCTGTGATAAATCATCATCCCTGCATGAAATTCCATTCATATATGCTGCAATATCTGGTAGTAATGTTAGAGAAAAACAAAAAAGAATGAAAACTTAGCAACAAACAAGTTTATAAAGAACAAAGTATAGCTTGCCAGAATTGCTGAGTTCTTTCAGTAGCTCAATCAGTAGAAGGAGATTTCAGAATCAAACAAGAGTTTCAACAGCTGTATTTGTATTACAGTCATAAAGGCATAAATGTGAAATACAGCTCCAATAAAAAAAATGAAGTTTACATAACTGGATGGTAATTTTCCACCCTTTCCAGAAGTAGCTCAGAATATCCAGGGGTATAATACCTGAAAGAGAAAGATTTTGTTTGTGCATTAGACTACAAGGCATGGTCTGTGCTAAGTAATGAAACACTATTCATATTTCTGTTGATCAGGAAAAAATCCCAGCATTAAACACTGGTCAATGAATTCTCCAGTCATTCCTTTACAATGTTTTAAGAGCCTGCTTTAAAACTTACATTATCATTTATACTTGGAAGTCAGGTTTTCAAAAATACGTTTAGTTTCTTTTAGGGCATGTAGGTAAGAGGCTAGTTTTTAGATAGGTTCAGCAGCCATAAGCATTGTCTCTACTGAGCAATGTAGATGTTAACTTCTTTTGAAATTATGGCCTTTAATAAAAAAGCATGAGTTTACACAAAACCATAGGCTGCCAGACGACAATAGTCTACTGCTGTTCGTCAAACATAAGCATACACCCCAAAGCTAATGTGAAGTCTACATCAATGCGAGACACATTGATTCTGGAACAAAAAAAAATTATCACAATGACCTTCTGTCTCTAATGCCAACTCAAGGACGGAGATTATCCAATAGGTTTTCATTAGAGTAGGACTCTATGGTGCCATTATTGTCCTGCTGTCATTCAGTTGGTTTTCCACAATGGACCAACTACATGTTTCCAATATGCAAGCATCACCAAAGCTGCATTTAGTTCTTGTTTTCCAGGTTAAGAGTATCCGAAATTTATTATTCTGTGTTATTCTAAAAACATACATCTTGGTACATTTCTGGTTTTGCAAGCATGTAAATTGTCATCTCTGAGCCCTGGAAGCTTTAACTATAAAGAGAGAGGAACATACTTCCATGTAATGCATGCCTAAAATGTATTCAAGTAAAAATCCCCAGTGTTTTCACACTGAAGGAAGATCCATTTACCTTGTTGATTTTCATTTTCTGGATGACTTCTGCATAATGCAACTCTTTATAAAACTCACATTAGTTCTCTGATTTTATAGCTAACTTTTCAATGCATTATTATATTCAGTCTGCAAACAGCCTAAAATAACAGGTCTCCAGGACAAACCCGGAGCTGGAGTCTATTATAGCAGCTGTGCCTCAGGCAGCACAACCAACATCAGGCAGCAGCACAAAGAGGCAAGCAGGAGATGCTCGAAGGGGCCCTTTTCTTTATTACATCCCAGCCTACATGACTAACCTTGCTTCATTTACAGGGGAAAAAAAAAAAGAAGCTGCAACAAAGAAACATTAATTATATCCAGAATAGCGTAAGCAAATGTCCTTTTTTTCCTCTGAAGTATTCACTGCAGAATAAAGTGTCTTTATGATTTTGCTTTTACCCATTTGACAGCCCCTGGCCTTTCCTTGTGGAGACAAACAGGGCTTCATTTTGCATGACTTAGTTTGTAGCTACTATTAGCTGAAGAACTCTGTTGCTATAATTAAAATTGATGATGCAGATTTTCAGAGCCTGTAGAGGGAGTGCACGAGTACAACATCCTTTTGATGTGTTGATGGAGTGAAGGACTGGTAAATGGATATCTAGAGTCTAGGAGGGCATTTCTCTCATTATTACAATTTAGGATGGTGACATTTTGACTGTAAGCTATTTAATAGTGTTTCTGTATTCATTAAGGGCAAAGTTCAACTTGGTGCAGACAGCTGGTGTATGGTCCTTTTATATAACACTTAAGCCTCATGATGAGGTTGGGGGAGGAAGGGCAGCTGTGGGCAAAGCAACTGTGCAGGAGAGCCTCTGGACCCTCTGTACATCAGAGGAAGTTTCAAAGGAGCCTCTGAATACACTAGTTCAGACAGGCTCTTAGGGAAGTCAAGGATGCATCAAAAGATTCACCAATACCTGTATTTTGGAGCCCGAGTAATCCATAAATAAGTCACCAAGATAACCTAAATTTCCCACAGACATTCATTAATATGAGAGTGGTTGTGCCGAAGCCTTGGAGTCTGTCTGGGTGGTGTAGAACTGACTTTTCTTCCCAGTATCCTGCAAGAGCCTGATTATTTGGGCTTAGTTTACTGACAAAGAAATTTGATTCCAAAAACAATCAGAAAAAAGAAAGTGTTTGAAAATATGTCTAGCAGCTGTGCTACCACTGGGGCAGATAACCAAAGTTATGCAGTTTTATTAAAAGCAAAGTTCATGCAGAAGTTAAATTAGTATTTTAAATCCTTGTTTTGTGCTGTTCCTGTGAAAAACATCTAACAATACTGTAAGTATGAATGTTTTAAATTTCATTTTCCCTACCTCACTATTTCCTCTGGATAGCAATTATTAATAGTGTTGATATATTCCTGAAGAAGTGACCCAGGCTCTGCTTTTATTTCTTGTACCTTTTTAAGTCCACCAGTTGTTACAAAGAGACGACGTGCTTTACTGTCATGTGGTAACACCTACACAGAGAGAAGTATATTAAAAAATATATATTTTTTCTTCTAAAGGAATCTCTGTGCTACTAGGATCAAATATTGCTTATCTGTTTTTAATTCAGAGGACAGACAAAACGGAACATCAGAGGTACAACATCTGTAATGACTACTGTAGTTTAACACCCAGTTGTACAGGAAAAAAAATCATAAACCAGGCCTTTATGGTTATAACATAATTTAACATGCACTTTAATGTATAACATATATAAAAATAATGAATTGAATATTTATCTTTACACAAATAATATTTCTTGAATTATTCCTACGGAGACAATAAGATTGTGGAGATTAAATAGATAATAAAAACAGAGCACTAGCATGGAATAACAGCAGCATCTGTTCCACTTAAACCAAGTTATTCAGGTCTTTTATGTCAATTCCCACAGTTTAATTGTGGAGCAGAATTTTATATCACTATAATGATCTAGTATAGATTAGTGCATGAAAACAATACTGAGAATTGTTGCAAGTGAACAATGCAGCCTTGAAGCATTACATGCTACTATTAAATTCCGAGATATTAAAATCCTACAGCACACTGTGTAGCCATGGAAGCCTTTAAAAAGCAGACACACACAAACACACAAAGCAAAAAAGGCGAAGTTTCTGCAGCCGAGGGGGATGAGAAGCAGAAACGATCAGACAATACATTCTGCACTCCCTGAGTGATGCCAATATGCAGCTCGGTCCAGAGGATGGGAGGGAGGAGGGAGGGAAGGAGGGAGGGAAGTGGGGGCTGGGCCAGGCACGGGAGAATGACAGTATGTAGTCCATAGGCCCACAGGGCTGCAATAATATTTAAAAAAAAAAAAAAAAGGGTGGAGGGAGATAATGCAAGACATCAGCTGCATCTACAACAAAACCAGATGGGTTTAAAACCAACTCCGGGAGTTTCATACTGTAGGGCCGAAAACATTTTGTAAGCCTTCACACTGGTCAGACAAATCAAGCCATAAATTTGACTGTATCTCAGTGCAAAACAAGGGCCTCGAAGGAGGAAGGGATTGCCTAAAAGGATGAAGGAAAAGAAGGATGAGATTTCTGCCATGCATATAGGCAAACAGCCTTCATTTCTCTGGTCCCTCTAGGCTGTACAAAATCAACAGACAGGTAAAGAAAACACAGGGGAACATAGAGACTTCTCCCTGTTATATGCTCCATAGAAGTGTTAGGAACAACTGTGTCATTGTAGGAATTGAAAAGATGGCTGTTTCCACGTATCTCCCACAACAAGAACTGCCAAGTAGGAACTAGGAAGGAGACAGGATACAGCCCTTTCTCTGCCTTCCTCCTCCACGCTGTGACTCCCAGGCTGGATAAGACGGCAGAAAACTCTCTTGGAAGAGGCCTTAATGACAGACAGCACCTCTGAGACACAGTCCCTTCCCCCAGCCCAAACTGAGACAGCACAGAATTGCAGACTCTGAAAATGATAATGCTAAAATGACACAGTCCAGCACCAAGAACGGATAGCATCCCACTCTGAAGCACAGCTCAGAAATAAGGCTTTTACCGTGCTATAAATAAGCCCACAGGAGAAATCCACCACAGGTCTAAGAATAGGAAATTCCCAAGCTATGGTAGAGGAGAGAGAAATGCTTTTACTGCAGAGAACTTAATTTTAAATATATACTTCAGAAAAGCAAATGCCAGACAAGTATAGTTTGTTTCATAAAACGTAGGAGAAGAAGAAAAATAAAGCAAAACGAAAGATCAGCTGTTATGAAGGGTACAAAACCACTTCAACAGCAAACAACATCCAAATCCATACACTGGGTAACCAGCTACTAAGCAGTCAGCTCATTAATAGCTCCAGTCAGCACACAGGAGCAAAAGGCCCTGGATTCTGTGCAAATCTCCAATCTTTGTACAGACTTAGCAAGAAGACAGGACAAACCTAAGTGTGGCAATGTAATCAGGAACCTGCACTACAAGCAGTAGTGCTCCCAGACCTGTGATAATCAGAACTGAATACCAGGAGTGTTTTATTTGGCCATTTCCAGAGAGAACATCTCGCCAAGACAGCCTGGTACCCCCTGCTAACAGATTACACTGCAAGGTATTGCACAAAAGATAGGCTACAGTTAAGCAGGATTCTCAACAGCTGGTGAACATTGCAAACGCTGGAAATCTCCTGAATAGTTTGCAATTACTTAAATAATTTGAAATATTTTGATTAAATTGTATCACTGTTTACATGCTGTGCTCAAATCAACACGGTAATTAACAACAAACACTTTCAAATCTTGAGAGGGATGAGAAAAGATTTGGTATTTTTGCACTTACTTTATTGAGACTGAAAAGCAACGAGGATAAAAGCTGTGAAGACTTTATACTCTAGATTATTGTAAAATAACTGACTTAAGTCACTCCTGTACAGACAGCTTGTACTTTATCTAAAACAGATGTGACTGGGATTTCCATGATACATTGGCTCAGTGAAAATATTTGCACATGGGTTAATATTCCACTTAATCTCAAGAGGCAAGGAAGAAAAAAACACCTTGCTTATAAGCAACTGTTTTCCCAGTCTTAGGGTGAATTATGGCAGGTTCCAGATGAAACAGTATCCAGGTTTATCAGGCAAAAGAACAGGATGCTCCAGACTGTTTCTAAAGAGGCTGCTTGGGGATCCTGAGAAAATAACTGAGACCTTTAGAGAGACCTCATCTTTGGTAAGATAGCTTCCTTGCTAAATGGAAAACAATTAACATACTACCCATCAAGAGAGCTCTTCTTACCTTACTAAACTGCCCAACAATATGTTTCATAATATTGGGAGGGGCATCATGCAGCAATGGTTCAAGTGCTGGAAGATACGTGCATTTCTGAAGGATGTTCTTTAAGGCCCTTTTACTCTATTGAAATGCAAAATAAGATTTCTCTGGTAAGACATCAATGAAAACAACAAGAATTCATGTTACATATCACTGAAGTCTGATCAAAAAAGCAAATTGATCAGAATTCTGAAAGACTTATTTTCTCAACAAAAACTATGGTATCTATTAGGTCACTTAATGAAGAATCAATTTTCTACTTAGATTTATTAAACCTCCAAACCTACAGCGCATCATATTATTATTGTCATCTACGGTCAAAGTAGTCAGAGGAAAATTGCCATTACAATGTAAGCAGGAGTAGACCCTTTAAGTAAATTGAAGTATACTGTAACACAATAAGAAAGCTAAATCAAAACACATTTTAAAATTCTGTATTTTAGAAGTGGCTTACTGGGAGAGTCTGCTGGTCTGGGGTAACACAGGGCAGTACCATTCAGGCAGGGAGGGAAAGAGAGAGTGAAACAGTTGTACATCAGTGCTTAGTTTCCAAAAACAGACTCAATGTGGACTGCTACAAGCAGTAATGACCTTCTTGGGTAGGATTACAGGTACAGCTAATTTGGCCTTGAGTGGTTTTGGTGACCACTGAAAATGACTACACAAAAGTTATTTTACAGATCTGGAATGTTCTGCTTCAGTGGAATGTACAGAAACGTAGCACAACATGGGAGACTGTATCCTGTCGTGTTGTACTCTTCAGTTGGTTCTCTCACTGTCGCTCAAAAATACACTTTGCCAAATTGCAACTCTACCAGCTCCAACACAAGGAAGGCCCTAAACATGAAGAGCTGCATGTTTGCAGAGCTTTGAGCATTTGTTAAAGTCTTATTATAATAATACAAATGTAAGCAAATCTACAACAAGGACTATAACATTTTGTACGAGAGGTTATAGTTTAAAAAAAAAAAATAGTAGACTATTAGAAATCAGTCACTCACAAGAAATTATAGCATTTATGGGTGTATGCAACTGATCTAAACTGGGAAGAAAATATGGAACTAAGCTGCTGTAGCTGTACCATGGTTTGATATGCACCATACTCACACCCATTAGGACCAGCCAGTCCTAATAAATGACAGGCAGCCATCGAGCAGCCTATATCCAGGAAGTTTGTGACTCGATGAATATCAATAATAAAAGGACCTATACCTGTTGATTACAATAAATGTCTCACACTGCACATCCTACAAAAATACTTGCTTTCATTTGAAGATCCTCTGAGCTGTGTGTGTCCATATACATAGCAAGGAGTGTGGGTAGCACGTTTGCTACTGCAACAGCACGTGCGTGCTCAGGAGTATGTCTTCCAATCTGTCCCAAGGCCCAGACAGCCGCTGCCTTAATATGATCTTCATGTTCTTCTACCAAACAGGCACACAGTGGTGGTATTCCCTACAGCATAGCAAAAGCACAACCTTTACAAATCTATGACAGGGAAGGACAACTTGGAACTGGTACAGATTGTTAGAAAACATTTGTCTATTTACACTCTTCTTCTAAAATAAGCTATAAGAGAATGCATGCTAGTGGTGTCATATTTTCACAACATCATGATTAGCACGAATTTTGAATAAATCTTAATAAATGTAACTGAAGAGAGAAACAGCTTCAGTGTTCTAAGTCAGAAGGCAGTTTGAGCTAATGCACAAATTTAAGGGATAAAAGGAATATATGACACAATTCAGGCTGTATTAAGAGTAAAGGCTTCAGTTTTGTCAGACTGAAAATAAAAGATTTTGAGTGTTTATGAACCTATGAAAGCAGTTTAAGACAAGAAGGACTCAGTAATTTATTTTTTTTTAATCCACAGAACTATATTTCAACTTATCAACCTCTTCTTGAGTCCACTAATTCACGTTTGACTCATCCAGTCACTTCCAGAAAGGTTTCAACTCTTGATTTGAAGATATCAAGTGATGGAGAATCCTCACTCACATCCAGCTGTTACTAAAGTTCTTCTGGTTCAGGGTCATAGTCTTCTTCCTTTCTCCACAGGATTACGGAGCTACTTAGTAGCTGGTATTTTATGCCAGGACACTTCAATAGGAATCATTTCATGCTACTTTAGGTAAGGCAAGGCTACTAAACCTCTTAACTAGAAAACCTTTTTCTCCGTCCGATGGATCATTTTCCAGTCTTTTCTGCACACTCTTCAGGAGGTTTTCAAGATTTTTTTCAAATACGGACAACAGAACTATATGCATTAGTACTACAGATAGACTAACTTCTCTTTCCAATAATGCTTCATCTTCCACTCTTTAATACTGCAAGGGAGTGAATCGTCCTTTTATTTATTTTTTTTTTTTTTTGGCCACTGCACTGCAGCAGAAGATGACAACAAAGTGTTTGCCCAGTATGACCCCAGAAATAATTGTTCAAACTACGTCCTTTCCAGGATATGGTACCACGGAATGGAGCTATCTCTTTAGTGTAACTCCATGTGGTTATGCCACAGTGCCTTTCTTTCAGATGATTTCAGTTTATCCAGCTATGTCCTCAGCACTATGTACCATTCCACAAGCTTAGTCTCCTCTGAAGGGAGAGGACCGGGTTTGGGGTTTATTTGGGTTTCCTTTGTAGATCATTCATTAAAATATGTAAATTCATGAGAGTTTGCACAGAGCCCTACAAAATCTTTCACTGTCCTCCCATTCAGTTATGGTAACAACCATTATTACTCTTCAAAAATTTATCACTATGGTGCTTCCACATGAACTTAATCCTGGATTCAATCCACTTAATGTCAAGCACTCAACAGCAGGAGCATATCTGCTCTAGGCATCCCTGAAAGTGGAGAGACAGAGACACATCCAAGAAGGGCCTCCAGAGAAGGCAAGAAAAAAGTGTCTATTTCTTTAATTTTTAAATGCAGAAGAGCATTTTTTGATCAATCTTACTTTCCCTGCAAACTTATTGATGTTATGTTGAAGTAATTTCCACTTTTTTTATTGTATTCCTACTAGAAGACATTTCTGTTCCTCTGTTTTTATTGTTCCATTGTTTCCATTCATACAGTATATCTTAAATGAGTGTGAAAATGGACCAACAATGCTCAGTGAAATTACTTTCTTTCTCCGGTCATTAGTTAGCATTATTCACATCAGAATATTATGTCAGGCACTAATTTCACCTATTCGGAATACTGCAAATTCCTTATTCCTATATCATTGCCCAGCAGAATTTATTTAAACCTGAAAATGCATGGCTTATGTCATTTGAAATGTCACTTGCACAACGGAATCAAACCATACTGCATTAGGAACTGAAGTCTTTTCAAGTCTGAAGATTTCTTTTGCCAGACTCCTCTAGCAGTACAGCAGTACCAGCAGAGTCATGCTAGTGCAATGAAGAATGTGCCATTAAACATTCTTGTTTCAAACCGGGTTTTGACATAGCCACAAATATTCATTTTAAGAGGAAACAGACCATACAAATTCGCTGACTTATTTTCTGTACTCGTGCAATTGCAACACAGGAAAAATCATGCACTGTAATACAAATGGATGTTCACAAACTAATCCAGGACATTTTATAAAAGGGTCAACTTCATAAAGACACACATTTACCAGGTTACCACATAATTTCAGCCACAGCAAACAGCAATATTAGCAGAAAATGTATTCGTCAGCAGCAAGTATATAATTCTGTCACAAAATATATTCTCTGCCTACGTTAATTTGTATCTTTTTCTCAGAATACCACTGAAGAATTATAGGAAGACAACAAAGTGATAGCTAACCTTGGAGACAATCACTGCCATTGACAGGTTCTCCGAGTGAGCTGCTACGTAACCAAGCATCATGATGCCAGGCAGTCTGACAGTCCCTCTGCAGCTGCCAATACAATCAATCACAGCAGCAACTCCACCTGCATTTACTATAAGCTGTGAAAGCTGAAAAGATAAACGGGAGAGATTAGATGCTGTGAAGTATCAACAGGCATAAAGCACTACATTAGAAAAGTCTTTAGATTTATTGCTCCTGATTTATAAATAAAGTGATGTATCATTCAGACCGTGGGGCACTAAGCGCAGCATGAAGTTCTCAGGAATTAAGCAGTTTTGCTACTCTGTTTTTGATTGACTTTACTGCAAGGAAATCAGGACTCTGGATTCTTGGTGCTTTATAGCATGGAATGACACATTCTCAACTCCATTAGTACATACTGAAGACTCATTCAAATGACAGCCGAATACATGAATGCCCCTGAAGACACACCTACTGACCCAGATACTCCAAATCAACATGGTATGTTCTGTGCAAGGGCAGAGGGAAAGGCCCAATTCTCCTCTCACCTGCATTCTAGATAACCTCTGCTGCATAAGAGCCTTTGTGGATCCCCCTACTGAGGCATGAAGCCAAAGATAAGTCATGGATGCGCAAAACCGACTTGGGCTACATCATTCTGCTATGCTAGTGTATTCTGAGGGCAGTTTTCAGAGAGCACACTGGATGGGCAATGGAGTTTGCCCCAGAATGCCAAATTATATAGTCTTGCTTATAAATATAATCACATCCAAAATGTATGATGTTTCCTGTGTGTATCAAGGTATGCAACAGGTTTCTTTCCAAAAGTTATCGCTTCTCATATCACTTGAGGGACAGCAGTAGTGTATGTATGATATCAACAATGCATAGAAATTAAAATCATTTCATATTATGATTATTTTTTTCTATCTTGTTAGATATATCACTTTTGTCCCAAAGATTTCAAAGCAAAAGAAACACATTTTTTAAAGCCCAAATCAAACGAACAAAACCAAAGCATGTGGATTTCCAATCCAGTTGGTTTGGATAAACATAAAATACACTGTTAAAGGGGGTTATTTTGTTAATGAAACAGCTAGATGAAATTTAAAGTAGTGGATAAGCATAAAATCCACTGTTAGAGCCTTTAAAAGGGGGTTATTTTCTTAATGAAACAGCTAGATGAAATTTAAAGTAATAACTCTGAATTAATAAACTTAGGAAAAACTGTTCACGTGATTGTGAACTACAGCCAGTGATGACTGAGTCCCACATCTGGGCACAGCCATGCGCACAGAGCTCCTGCACAGACACAATCCCTGGTGCTGTGAGCCTCAGGCCCTGCTGCAAGTCCCCCAGATCCTGACCTTCACGTGAATTCTATCACAGAGCTCCTGCACAGACACGATCCCTGGTGCTGTGAGCCTCAGGCCCTGCTGCAAGTCCCCCAGATCCTGACCTTCACGTGAATTCTACTGCGTAGGTAGACAGAGAGCTGAGATCCAAAAGCCACAACGCTCACACAACTGACACAGCCAACTCCTCTAGAAATACCGTTTTCCAATCTGTCTCTGCTGCAACACGTTTTACTTGAGCAGAGTTGCTCAGAGGTGGACAGAGATCACTGTCACTCTGAAGTCCAATGTGGACTGTGACTTCCCGCTGGGAGTCACTTGGATACTTCCTACAGCTCCTTTGGAGAGCTGCTAGAACGGACAATTCCCCTTGCATGGAGGATCCTGTGCCAGCAGCTTTTCTGACTTCACCTGCAGTCTTGTGAGCGTGGCCTCTGGCTTCTGACTCTGGTGCCTCCCTTTGATAATGATAATTTCTTCACTTTTTGGAGAAAGTGAAGTTGCATTGCTCATGAGGTAGAGAGGGAAAGCAGGAAATGCGACAAGACCGCAACCTTTAATCAGCAGCAGCTTCAAGATTAGCAGGCTGAAGAAACAGCACAACACTCATGTTTAAACACTTCTTGATTGTTAAGCTAGTACCATGATTTTGGCTGCACTCAGCATTACTGTGTTTCACAAATGCATTGCTTGTGTTTCATTCCACAATCATATTTAGAGCCTTTCAATTATCAGTATGGTCTGACTGATTAATCTTGTTATAATTATTTGGTTTTTCCTATTTATTTTGTGTTGACTTTGCCAAACATCCCCACCTTCCTGTATTGATTATTGGCAAAAAACCTGCAAATGCTGAGGCTCCAATTACAAACTCAAGCTAATAAAAGAAACTACCATCAGTTTAATAATAAAATAAGAGCATTTTTGACCTTCACCGACATTGGAAAAATAATTAAAATGTGATCCCAGCACTGCAGAAGATTTTTTTAAAAAACACACACCATCTATTATTGTTATAGGATGATCTTGTCATTTATTAGCTGGTACCATGACTTCTGCGAGGCTTTCCTCATGATATTTTTAATATCTAGGACTGACAATACTGTCAGCCTAAAACTCTCTCTCTGTGCAGATATTTTATGGAATGAAGTAGCTAGGTATACATTATATGATTCCCAGTTTCCTAACCCAATTCATATTCAATACACATCTCATAATATCAGCACGCATTTCCATATTTTTCCAATGAACATGCCAAACAGCTATTTGCCCTCCCTTTCAAAAAGCAAATGACAGAATAATCCTGTATTTTATTTAAAGTGTAAAATCTAATGATATGACCTTGTATTTGCATTTTCAAGGTTTTACCTCAGGCGTGTGCTTTGCTATCTCTCTAATTAAAGTTGCACCATTTTTCTTGACATATTCATCTGAGTCCTTCAGGCATGTGAGCACAACTGGGAAAATTTCTGCTTCAACCACCAACTCAGCAAGATCCACTGAATGTTTTGCTATTTGGCTTAGAGCTGACAGCACCTGACGCTAGTAAATAAAAATTGTTATAAAATCAATAGTATACAAACATCCCACAACACACACTCCTCCCGCACACAAAAATCTATTGCATCCAGGAAAACAAAGCAGGATAGGGAAAACAATTACAGCTATTTTACAATTCACTGAGTCAATTCATGCACGAATATAATGGCACAGAACATTCACTGGTTCCTGAATAAAAGTTTCTCCTTTGTTTTATCCCATTCAAGCTTGCTATGTATTAAAAAAGAAAATATATATATACGTCATTTAAAACTATAATTTAAAATTTATTGAAAACTATAGAAAGTATCTTTATTTGCATAAGTTTGGTCTGTCAGAGTTTATATTAAAGAATTTTTAACTATTTGTTTGAAGTGGCATTTTTATGTTGTCTTCTGTTTCTGTTAGAGCCAGGCAGAAAAATTAATTAGATTAAGAAACAGGTTTTTTGTCAATTAAACTCCAGTGATTAAACCTTCAACCACAGCTACTCACATCAGATAGTACATTCTGAAATACAATCATACATTTAATATTAACAGGTTTATAGTATAATCTTAAGTATGCAAAATCTTTTTTGTAACTGAATGGTGCAAATTTTATCTATGAAAAATATCTGTTGCATTCTTCATATACTATGTAATTCTAAAAAAAAAATTAATATGGTCCACTTTAAAGATTAGTTTAGCTGTTCATCACAGAGCGGCAGTTTTTATCCAGTAGCCAAATCTGTGAAAATTAATACGGTCCACTTTAAAGATTAGTTTATCTGTTCCTCACAGAGCAGCAGTTTTTATCCAGTAGCCAAATCTGTGAACATGTTCAGAACTCTTCATCACTAACTATGTAGCCACATTTTGTTAACGCCCAAAACAAGAGCTTCCTAAATAAATACGCGCATCAGTGTCTTTGATTCAGTATCAAGTAATGACTGGTATAATGGAGATTTTAAAAAATAATTTTTAAATGTACCTTCAGTTTAGCATCAGGGTTCAGGATCATCTGAGCTAAGTGAGCGATAGCTCCTGCATCCACTACTGTCTGTGCTAACTCTGGAGAATGCTTTGAAATATCACTGAGAGTTGAAGCAGCAATCCTTTTCAAAGCAATTTCTGGCTCCTGGATACAGAGCACTAAAAGAGGAACAGCTCCTGCATCCACCACAGCTTGTGACAGTTCTGTAGGTCCAAGGAAAGTAATTAAGTGAGTATGGGTGACTGACCCTTGTGCAAGCCATTTTTCACCCTGACAGATACAGCAAAGGAAAAAGGGGAGGGTGTAGTTCACTGTCTCGACATCTGCATTTCAAATCAGCCCTCCTGGTTTCATAAACCGTGTGGACCAATCCACAACTGAAAAGAACGCAGGTCAATAGATGGACCTCCATTTACATGCACACATTTGAGGTAGATTAGGCTGAAATGGTTTGTTATTCTGTTTTCTTTTTCTTTTTTTAAAGTAAGCAGATGTCAGCTGTTTAAACCCTGGCTATTCTACACTGATCAATAGGAAAGCATTTTATGCATGGCTAACAACAACACAGAAAGCCAAAGTACCAAAATTTTACCAACCACCTAATTAGAGAGCATTTTACCCTCTTTAAATGATAAGCAGATATTAGCATAGATCAAATGCCAAAAACAGAAATACAAAAAACATACATAAAAGATTTATCTTACACAAAAGATTGGAAAAACAGAACTTGCTGATGAAAACTAGGTTTTGCTACGATATATGGGACAAGACAGAATTTATACTTTAATGACATGAAAATGTTATCATACACAATTACACAAATGAGAAATATCATCAGTGGGATATTGTGTGTCTGAGATCAGTACAATATCATTAACAAACTGCACCTTAAATAAAAAGGAAAAAAATAATAATTTGAGCATATGATTAGCTGACATGGACAAAAATTACACTATTAGAAATTCATTAGCTCTCTCTGTCTATGCAGCATTAATCACAGTCCGAAAATAAGAATTACTGGATATCAGAAGGAAAATTTATACTATAACCAAGCCATGCTATTTTAAAATAGTATTGAAAAAGTGGTAAAAATCATGTGGGATTCAATAACCTATTAGGCTCTTAGTTCAGTTTTGCTACACCTTATTATGCATATCCATTATTATCTTTAACATTTATCTTGACTTAACAGTACCATGGCAACATATGGCTGTTGTATTTCAAGACTCTAACTTAGCTCTTGATTTATAGTCCATCCATAAAGAGATTTTCATACTAAGAAAAATATAGCATACTTCATTAAATATACATAGACCAATATAGTTTTTCATGAAATCTGTAAGTCATGTCATCATTACATTGTTAATATCCAAATAATGTTCCTGACCAGATTTGTTTTCAATTAGTGAATTATAGCCACACACTCCAATACATGTTCTAAGTCAAATATTTACACTGCGTGTTATTTTATGATATATTTCAAGCAACCTATAAATATTACATCACAAAATTATAATAAATAATGCATTAATTTTTAAACTAATACTAATAAATTAACCCTTCAAAGTTCACTTTTCAAATAACTATTTGTCTGAAAATGCAGAGTGTGCACCCTCCAAATACACACAAATCATGAGATTTCAACAAAACGCTGGAATGCTGCCAAATTGCTGTATCCGCAATTTTACAAATTTGAAGTAAAATGTACCTGAAACGTATCTGAAAACAAACCTGAAAACTAGCTAATCAATCTAAGCGGTATAAGTTACATTCAGCTGTTCATGGAAGAAGCCAAGTGGAATACATAATGAACTACTGACCAACAGTACAGATTAATCCATCTGACTCTGCCTCAGAAGCAACTTCAGAGCAACCAACTCGATTGCCTACAGTCTGCCAAGGAGATGCTAATATCAGGAAAATCACATCAAGGGGGACAGAGTATAACTACAAGAATGGGTTTCTTCCATGCCTTAGGAGCTGAAATCCTGAAGTTCAAATAGGGAGAGAAAGAGAAATACTTTTAGGTCACAGCTATGCCCAGGCATGCAAAAGTAACCAGAAAAGTTATTTTAAAAGAGCAAACTAAATCTGATTCAATTTAGATCAGCTCCTGCTGTTAGAAGTCTGATGGTTACTGTTGGTCATGGTTAATTAAATGGCTGTTCTTCCAGTGGTGTTTATAAGGTTCATGGCTAATAACTTACCACATGGAGGGCTGGACCATGTGTCAAAAGACAGTCGAGCAGTACATGGACTGTCAGAAAAACAGGAAAGCCGGAGCAGAGACAAAAGAAAATATAGATCTTCTCATTGCATTCCCCTGCAAACTCAGCCCGAAACTATGATTTTAAGTATTAATGATTCTATGATAACTGCGGTTCTTTTTTGCTCAAAAAGAGGCTCAATTAACCTTCCCACTTGGTAGAAAGTCTTTAATTCAGACTACACACCAAAGAATTCATTAAATTTTGCTATCCAATTACAAAACACAGAGAGAATAGAAAAAAAAAAAAGAGAAGGCTGAGAAAGAATTAAAAGAGAAAATACAATTGTGAAGAAGAAATTAAAAACAAATATTCAGTCAAAGAAATTAAAAGTTACAAAAGTACTTTTCTGAACACTGTGTCAAGACCGTGTTATCTGGGCAAAGACAAGACCAATAGCTGAAGAGGAGAAAGCAGATAAAAACTTCTTTATGAACCTCATGTAAGTCCACAGAGAGTGGACAGAAAGTCCACAGAAAACCCTGGGCTTGGAACTTCAGTTTGTGGTATGCACCAAAAAACCTGTCCAACTACATGATGATAAAATAGGGCTTCTCCCTGCATGAGGGAAAGTAGGAAATGTTATTCTACATGCGATCAGAGACATGAGAACTTGGACTCAAAGGCCATGGTAAATCAGTTGCTTTGGTCCTGGACAATATAAGGAAGATTTTAGCAGATGGAGATACTGCAGATGTGAAGATGGACTCATACGGAGCCAAAAGAAAGACTGATAAAGAAAAACTTTGGAGTTTAAAAAGTTGCTCGTTCAACTAGTAGCTGTAGTAGAGCTGCACTGATTTGTCTCCATACAAAAGTGCTCAGGAGGGACTAAGAAATTAATTCAAAGTAAGCTGAGACCTAGTCATGAGTTTACGTGATCAGAAAGAGTGGAAAGTGAACAAAGAGGAGTCAATAAGATCCCGACTACATACTCACTGAAATCAATGGAAAGTCTTACAGGATTGATCTAAAGTGGCCTGAAGTGTTACAAAACAACAAAAAAAATCCATACCAACACTAACATATTGGTGATAATAGTACAGATAAAAAGATTCAGGAGAAAAGATGAAGGTAAGAAAGTGAATGTACAAGTGTAGTCCCCAGAGAAGGAAAATCACTTGGGAACAAATGCTATATACACATAGTGGAAGGCAGCAGCAAAACCTTCTTTGCTTGGAAGCAAATGCAAGTTTCAGTCCAGACCAGGGTTCTTAAACAGACCCAGCTGTGGTGGCAGGTGTACACACAGGAAATAACAGGTTTTGACCAAAACAACCACCAATACTGCATTATTCTGAGGACTGTGTGATCATGTAATCACCACATAGGAAGATTCTCATCCCCACAAGCAGTCCAAAGGCTGCACTTCAAAATCACAGGCTTATGCAGACCACCACAACCACGGTGCTAAAGATTCCACTGGAACCAGTGACAAAAGCTTTCATCTGGAGGATAGAGGTCATTAAGTAAGGAGCAGGCTTAGAGCCCGGAATAAGAAAAAGTTACTGCTAGACTCAAATCACTGAAGATCTGAGCAACCTGCTCTGACCTTGTAGCTGACCCTGCTTTGAGCAGGACGCTTGACTAGAGACCTCCCAAGGTCATTTCCAAGCTGAGCTATCCTATGTTCCTAAGAGCATCATTGTATGACAGAAAATGAGCATAACTCCATTCTCAGCAACATGCTTGAGTATAGAGTTGTTTCTTTTTGTTTTCCTACCGATTTACAACATGCTGAAGCAGGTATGAGGTGACTAATAAATTATACCTTTTATGTAAGCAAAGCAAATGGAAAGCTAAGTTACCTGCATATCTCAAACATAAGAATTTTGTATTTTAAAAGTAACTGAAAAATTCCAAATACTTTTCACGGACTTGAAGGTATCTTGATGGTACATTTCTTTTCAAACACAAACAGCAGAAATAATATAGTAGAAATAAGAAATGGCAAAATTGCAGCACACCGATCTGTACACTTCAGAGTAAGATCAGTGTCTGATATTCAGCTCAAAGGGATCTTCAAAAAAGAGCAGAACTGCAAGAGCTGTTCCTAAATTTCGGAATCTGACCTGGCAAGATTTCTAGTGTCTTGAAATCTCATGAGACATCTGTCTTGATCTAAAATTTCACAGGCCTTCTGGAAACATCTGCTCACAGAAGAACTGCATTTTAAGAGAGAATTGTATGAAGACAGTAGTAAACTCGCTAACCAGAAAATCTGTTCATCAGGAAAAAAAGAAAAGTAGTCTTGATTTCTCAAAATTGAAGTCTTTTCATGGGAACATACACCACAGCGACCAGACCAGATCATGGATGGAATTTCTGATTAAAAGCAGACAGACCCTCCTGTTGCAAACAGTTATCGCCTAATGCTGGGGAGCCTTTGCTTGCGTTCAGGGAAACAGAGGTTCACATCCTGCCTCAGAGAGATCAGGACTTTAATCTGTCTCCCACATACATCCCAGACACATGCCCTAATTCTTGAACCATTCTTGCTGGGCACAAATGAGCCTCCCTACCTCTCAGTCTTTTCAGGACAGAAAAAAAAATAATCATGTCTTAATGTTGTCCCAATTTGGAACCGAAACGATTTTTGAAACTGAAAAACCTTTGGTGGGTGGGGAAAACCATTTCACACTCAGCTCTAAAAATAGAGTTTAAGCTGCAATGTGTGTCCACGGGCAGTCAATGACAGAAAATCACAACTGCCAAATTTTATCAACACAAGCATCTGAGTCTAATCCAGAGTTTCTTGAACAGTGAACGCCAGGCGTAGATAAGAACAGGTCCATCTATCTTTGTATCCCATCTCCAACAATATCCTGTTGCAAAGGCATGTTTGTAGGAGTGTAAGAAACAGACCACGCTCAAAGCGATCTTTCTTCAGTGTAACTCCTCTACTTTCAGTAATCATTTTAGAGACTTCCTGTTACTGTCACAGAGGAAGGTAAATCCCCTGAATTGGCCATCGCTGGGCAGGGGAAGAACAATTTTTTTCAGGGTTTTTTTGGTTTGGTTTTTTGGGGGGTTTTTTGTTTGGTTTTTTTTTTGGTTTTTTTTTTAAGCTAATTACATCTAGTGATCTGTCAAAGTCCTTATGCTTGGTAGCACTTGCAATTTCAACCTAATCGCTGAAAATGCTGTTCGCATAAATAACTCCTCATTGTGGAATGAAAATCTGTACCCAGGAGTTTCTTGTCTTCAATACCCCCACGTCATCTCCATCTTTGCAGACAACATCATCACAGAGTGAACTGGATCACCCTAAAGATCAGCCAGCATTCACGCAATGAATAGCATGAAGGGCAATTGAGGTGAGTCAATATTGATTTACCCACATAACAAAACTACAGAAATGTTTATGTTAAGAGTAACACAGACACACACTTACACTACACAGATTTATACAAAGGAACACTTTCAAATGACACTTAGCAAATATCTTTCAGAAGGAAGCAGTAACTATTTTCAACCAAGGGTGGGGACTCAGACCCAATGAACAAAAGATAAAAGATCTTTAACACACAGAGGCACCCCAAAAATTAATTTTTTCCCCAGAAATAGTGGTGTTAGGAAGACTCTGACAATTTTGGAGCCTGTCCAAGTCCCCTCACTAAGTGAGCAGGGGAAATCCCCCATGATTTCTGCAGTTCAGCACTCCTTATTGATAAAAAAAAAGAAGAAAATCACTTCCAAATTCAAAGTTAACCCTCTCACTAAGTGAGCAGGGGAAATCCCCCATGATTTCTGCAGTTCAGCACTCCTTATTGATAAAAAAAAAGAAGAAAATCACTTCCAAATTCAGCCTATGTACATTTTAGAGCCAAAACCAAACATAAATGCATGAGTTAATGTTGTGATCCTAGAAAAATTGTAATTTTAAACAATATGAACACAAGCCATTTCTCCCACCGTTTCCATCCAGCAGCTTCTTCCCTCAGTTCTTTGATTCCTAGCTCTAAACTTTTACTTGAACTATATAAATAGCTGGTAAAAGAATTACCAACCACAGGATCAGCTTTTAAATAGGAACATGACACTGCCAGTGAGTTATACAACCGCTTGTGAGACAGCAGTGAACTGCTCGATATCGGATTCCTAGGATCTATTCCTGACCCTCGGAGAAGAGTGTGGTCTACTGGCTAACGATAATATAGTCAGTACAATGAATTTGGTGCATTTATCCTGCAGGCACTGCTGTCAGCTGAATGAAACTTGGGTTTTTTAGGCCTCTCCACATTACCATGTGTATAAAATAAGAACTAATGGCGAGCAAAAGACACTTTGTTCCACAGTAACACTTATACAATACATAAAGATTCTGAAATTTCTTCACGAAGGAGAATAAACAGTGTTGTTTCCTGGCCACAGGCTCAACGCATCTCCTCCTAGAGAGCTTCTCATAACTGGGCACTGCTGGTGTCAGATACCCCAGATTCCCACTAAAGGTATAGCATTGTCAGACTGCTAAAGTAAGAACATGTTTTTATTCCAAATTTAAGATTTTATAACAGTAGAGAAGAAAAAAGAGTGTCTTGTTCTATTTACAAACATTACAATAATGCAATTTATTATAACTCTCACATAACATTAAGCTGAAAGATACCACACGTGAAACCTGTTACCTGAATTATGTCGGGCAATATACGCAAGTGCCCAAGATGCAGCTTCTTTGACTCCAGGGTCAAAATCTTCCAAGCAAATCACAAGCATTTCCAGAGCTCCACACTGAACTATTGCCTGAGCTAGTTGTGGAGAATGTTTACCAACTGCTCTTAGCACAAATGCTGCTGCTTTCTTGTAGAAACGCTATACAAATTAGAAAAACAAACAAACAAACAAATTTTACTAACATTCATTAATTTGAAGTATAATACAGTACAGGCTTGCATAAATTAGATTTTTTTTAATAGCAGCAATATCTCACACAGATCCAAATCAGGACCACCAGACATCACACAACCAATGAACCTACAGTCCTTCTTTAAGACAACTTATGATCTAAAATTTGCAGTAAGTGCATAAACAAACAGAAAAAATGAGAGGACTAAGAGGATATGGGGAAAAGATAATAGTCTAGATAAGTCTGTTTATTTAAGTGAGTAGTGAATGATAAGCGCTGCAAAAACAATAGCTCTTAACGTATTTAACCAGATTACACAGGTTATGCAGGGCAAGGTCCTAAAATAATTCTACCCATCTGTGACACTTGCAAGGTTTCACAATTTCTAATGTATATACCTTCACAACATCTCTATGAGAAAACATTGTTTACATTTAGAAACAGAGACACAGAGAATTAGATCGAACGAAAGGGTTTAGAATCTGAATCCTGGAATGCCTAAATACTGCCTAGGCTCACAAGTAAGATCCTGAAAACCCATCCCACCAAACACCCGACACTGGACGGCTCTCGGTTTTGACCAGAAAGCCTGCAATTTTACTCCTGCGTGGCTCCAGAAACAGTTCACTTTTGACAGGACCAAGCACCTTGGCATCTCTGTCATAAATTCAAACAAAATCCAAGCACCTGTCTCAGTTCTACCCATCTCCCTCAGTGCTGGACCAAATACATGTTTTGAGCATATGTGTATATATATATAACATATGATGCTGATGGTGATTGAAGCTTCCTCTAAAAGCACAAAGTCTTCCCCCCAAAAGTCACGTTTCAGCCTTCTCCTGCAGTTTCATAACTAGCAGTGGGATGTGGAAGCTGAAGGTTAGATTTCTTCCTCTGCCTTACAGTGTCAAAATCCAGAGCCCAGTCAAAGCACTCTGGCCAGAGACAACCGCGTTGGGAGAAAGCCAGTTCCCCTCCCTCGTGAAGCCACTGTGCAAGATCCACTGGGACACAAGTAATCCACTGCCCCGTCCGTGTGCCTGGAGTATGCTCTCCAGCCTGACAGCTCATCCCTACGGACAAGCCTTAGAGAGCTCTCTCTCTCTGTGCCAGCTGGCTCTCATCTCATCCCAAGACGCTTGTTTCTCCCCTGCTCTGCACAGGCAGCCTAAGCATTTCACGCTGATAGATTCCTACCGTCAAAGTAACCCAAAACTTCAACAATGCAAAAGCCCACATCCCTTTTGGATCGAGTCCAGAGAAACAAAGAACCACGTGAGTGCTTTTGCGCATCCTGTGAGGTGCTCAAGCACTTTCAAAAAAATCTGATCTAAACCACTAAGGCATGGTGACAGCAAAACGGACCCAGGCCCACTCCCTGGCGCTGAGGGGAAGCGACACAGCCCATCACACCACCAAACTCCTCTTCCCTCAAAGCACTGTCACCTCACCTATGCCACTGGAAACTGTCCCTGCCTTGTGCTGTCCCCTGAGCCACGGCCAGGCACTGCCAAGTCGTTTGATGGTTGGCATTGGCTAAAACCACATTAGAGAGCACTTAAACGATTAAAGAGCACAGTCATTTTCCAGTGCTCAAACGCATGCCCTGACCCCTCTTAGTTTACCAGTACCAATATAATTCCTTAATGCCAAAAATCCAGTCTTCGAAGTTAAGACCTAGAAGCAGGTACATTAAACATAATTTACAAGCAAAGCGTTAATCATCATTTAGGGGGAACAGAAGTTAAGGGAAACAGTACAGACAAATGGTCAAATCCCTAGCTAATGCAAGTTAATATAAGTTTTGCTGAACTCAATGGAGCTATAGTTGTATATACGTCTGTGCAAACATGGGTATGTTATTTCTGCTAAGTAGTTACACTCCTGGCAAAGAAAAACACTTCTTTGTTTTTATTATTCAAAACATATTTATTTACAAACAAACTGTATTCACAGGCACAGTCAGAACACACTGTAAAACTGTATTTTGCTCAGTTTAATTGACAAAACATTGATCTGGGATGTCACCCTGTAACTGTTCTCCATAAATCAGTAGAATCAGTATTTATTGTGTGCTCAGAGAATCTCCTCCTTAAATATAGACGTTGATACACAAAGAGTGAGTGGAATGGAAACTTGAGGGGGGGCCCTATGGGAAGTAACAAACTGCACGCATTGCTAAACTCTGCATGAACTGGATAATGAGTTTCCTTCACTTGCCCTCAGTCACCAAGGCATAGCAGGCTTTCCATGACCTCACACTAATCTTGCTGCTGCCCAAGTGATTCTGAATTACAGCCATCTCTATGTAACGACAGCACGGGCAGTAACGTGGAAGAGATAAATCAGGGTACTCAAGCTAATTTAGTGAGGGCTTTGAGTTGTAGCAAGGGGGCGGTTTCCAACTCAAAAACAGAGGATGAAGAGTTTCGTTCCCCATCTTCCCTTAAAAATAGAAAAAAAATAACCAAAATGGTTATAAATTTGTCCAGCTAAAACCTTAACTTTCTTTCCATGTTATACCATGATCTTGACATTAAGGTTTTTCTTTGGTTTTTTTTTTTAAATATTAATTGTAAAGGCAATTACCAGACACGTACAAAAAGTCTGCAATGAGGACTTACATTTATGTTTTCCTCAAAAGACTTAACATGAAAATATATAGTTTTCCAAATTGTATTTCCACTGAAATCCTACTTCTCCTAAATCTAATAAAACAAAACTGCAATATGGCTGTGATATCAATGCACTTAACTCTCAGCTGTCTCTTTCTTTTTCTAGTTAGTAGGAACCTTATTTGAAAGTATTTCTGTTAATCTAGGTTAGGATCAGTAGAATATCAAAGCTGGAATACATGCAAAACCTGAAGAAAGATGGCAAGAAGGGAGAGAGAGACCACTAGATTTATTTGCATTGTAATTGTGACAACAATTGCTTTTGGTTTTGGGGGGGGGGGGTTGAAAAATATGAAGATGAAAACCTTTTGGCGTATCTTCCTCTGTCAGTGGTTTCATATTTCTCATGCTGCAAATTTCCAAAAGGCTATGTTTGGAGATACTAAATATTTCATTACAAAAGTTCAGGGGTTTTTATAGTTATTTTACAAGTGTTTAGTATTATTGACAAATCCTAGTCAGTTATCACTACAGCTTTCAAATTATTTTAAAGAAGGACCTTTTATAAAGGATCACTCAACATTTCAAAAACACAGCAGTAAACACAGATCTTTTTATAATGCACTAAAAGGTAAGATGGTATTTTCAAGTCAAACTTAGGCACACAGTACACATTGATCTCAGAAGTTCAAACAAACATACCATCTCTAACTGCAGTACATTTATTGCTATATTAGAATACCAGCAGATAGCTGATAAACAAAGATTTCCCTTTCCCCGTGCAATAGTTAAAAAAAAAAAAAAAAGATTACTTAAGAAAACAATGATGCCTTACATTCTGCTCAGACAATGAACACATGAGATGTGGAAGAATGTTTTCCTTCACAACTGCCTCTGCCAGGGCATCGTTATAATTGGCAAGTCTCCCAAGAGCCAAAGCTGCAGTCTGTTGAATAGTTGGGACGACATCCAGCAAAAGAGGTCTCAGCAAAGACATTACACCTGAGTTACACCAGGAAGAGAAAAGCCCATTTGGTAAGCAGGAATTTTTCTAAATATTTGCCTTTATTCATAAAAACCTCTTCCAGGTCCTAAGAACTTGTAGGAAATCCAGGTGTTCCTCTGAAATGAAGTCGGCACTTGGATAGCACTGCTGATGCATAGCAATGTTTCTGCCCAATTTTCATAGGTACAAAACACTTCTGAAATATAAAAAAATGTTAGATGTAGAAATAAGCTATATTTGAACATCTATAAAAAACAGGTGTTAAAGCACACACAAGAAAATAAGGTATATTCAAACATAGAAGAAATGCATGTATTAAAGTATGCACAGGAAACTCCCATCAGGAGGTCCTGCTGAGCTGACATTGGCATGTCACCCATTCAACATGTGAGCAGAACATCTGCATTGAATTACACCAAATTACTCTGCATCTATTATTAGCAATGATTGATTTGGGGACGAACATCCATAACCTATTACACTCCAGATAGATGAGTTGAAGGTTTTGTTATCATGTTATTATTTATATTTTCACTGATGAGTCCACAGAGTACCAGTTAAATGTGAAATAATACAAAACCCCATTCTCTAAGGTGCTCTTACAATATGTACTTGAAATTATAGGCAAGGTAAGCAGCTGTGACATGAACCATTAACACTTAGAAAGTCCTTACACTGATAAAGGTCTAACTAAAAATAGGAAGTCGGAGGAGTAAACTTTCCATTCTTGCAGTAGGAGGGAGGAGGTCACAGTGCAATGCCATTCACTATTCATCTATAATCTCAAACAGGGCATGAACAGTGAGGTGAGACTTTCCTGGTGACTCAGAGTTATTCAAGGTAGTGCCAAGGAGGGAAGCTGTATGGAACTAGGGGCTGAACGACTGGGTAACAAAACGGCAGGTGAAACGGAACACACATGGGAAAGCCAATCTCAACCTCACGTGTGCAGTGATGGACCCCAAACAGATCATTACCACCCAGGAGAAAGATCTCCATGTTAGAACAGACAGCTCCATGGAGATACCAGCTTATTGCTCAGTAGCAGAAAAGAAACTTTACCCACAGAACTATACAGAGTGCTCAGGATTATCTGGAAAGGAGTAGCAGTCAAAGGAGAGACCAAAAATGACCACTCTGTATGTGGAAGCTCTTCCTACAGTTAAACTAAGATTATTCAATAGGGTTATAAAAGAGATCCACAAAATTATTTGTAAGGTCTGAGAAGGGAAAATTACTTATATTGCACTTCGAAAGTGTTGTCCCTGCACCAGCCAGCTGCATGAATTAATACTTCTGAGCTTTCAACCTCAACCAGAAAGCAATTTGCTCTGAAGATGCAGAAGTGCTACAACAGAACACCAAACTCTCTGAGCTACAGCCACAAATCTCCATATCGGCTCTCTCAGTTCTTTCCACTGCATTTTTTTGCTAACAAAGATAAAGATTTCGCTGGGTGTCTGTGGAAGAAATCAAGGCTTCCTTTCCTTAGAGCTCGTGTGGTTATAAGCACCAAACAAAGGTCTTCTGCTGCGACAGCCCCACAACAGCAGGATCAGTGCCTAATGGCAGATGACACCCAAGTGTTGAATGGGCACACCATGACAAGGAAAAGCTGAGGGCTTTAGAGCAAGAAATAGTCCAAAGGGATGCAGGCTATAACAATAGCATACCCATAGTACACCCATAGCCCTGGATAGAAGAGCACTCTGAAAACAAGTTGAGCAGCAGTGTAATTCTCACAGAGAACACCTACTTTAAATTAAAACCAAATTGATCCCAGCAAGAAGAAAACAGCCTAATAATCTATAGATGGCTCTGAAAGAGTGGCAGGGGGGTAAAACTAACCATGGAGGCCATGCTGACCACTAATGAATTTGTTGTGGGAAGGTCAATACTCCAGACAGAAGCTACACTGCCATGAGAGGTACAACCTCCCAGGATGTTCACAAGTCAAAATAACACAAATCTCAGGGGGGCAACACAGTAAAAGGGGAAAAGTGAAATAAAATTGTGATGTCTGAATAGCACTACAGCACCAAAAACGGCTCTGTAACATGCATTAATTGAACATGGACGTGTAGAACCCATGGAAATAGGTCTGTAGTATACCTAGGGCCTGCTCGCACTTTTATCGAAGCCACTGGAAGTAAAAGAAGCCTCCTGTGCACCAACAGACAAAAGCTAGATCCTCCAGTATTGTAAGATCAATGTGAATTCATTTAGCACTTTGCAGAAATCACTACTTCAGAATGTGGTCATCGTATTGACATCTTCTCACAAACTCTCCCAAATAGCAGGTATGCTCTCATTAGCAAGTTATGCTTCATATCAAAATGCATTAAGTACTTTATATGACAAATGAAAAGTAAAAAAAAAAAAAAAACATGCAAGCTGGGGCCAACCCCCTATATCATCTATAGTGACCTATCTTGTAGCAAGTCACCTGCACCCTGTATGGAAGAGCATTTTCTTGTGCTTCCCTCTAACATCAGCTGGATGGTCAAACAGCTGCCATTTGATTCCTAAGGGACCTCATACTCTTCTGACTCTTTACACTGAAGGTAAGGAGCAGGAACAGTTAGAAGCAGTACACCTGTATTTAGTGTACAGACATTACATTTAATCCCTTCAGTCGAGATAATATGAAAAGAAGATTATTTAATGAAGAGAAACAAGAAAAAAAAATTATTGATATAAAAGATACTGTTAGAAGCAGTTGAGGGGAAAAAGAAGACTGCCTTCATGTGCAGTGTTCCTGATCCTAGAAAAGCCAAGAGTCTGATGGGTGGGACATTCAAGCAGGATGTGGCAGATAGTTCAACTCTGGCAATGGTCTCAAAATCCAGTGAAATTTAAACAGACTAGAATCACTTTACCCAGGAGGAACCCATGAACTAGATCCAGACCACGTGACATGTTTCTGACCTGCATGACGTACCTAGACAACGCAAAATGTAAAACCACATGTAAGAAAGTTTACCTAGACATATGCTTTGAGTTATCCCAAATATGAGATTTATATAATTTGTATTATCAAGATCAGCTGATACAGACTTCACTCTTAGAATAGGACAAAAAGCCTTGAGCCTGAAAACACTTCCAAGCAGCGTGCCTCCCCATGACCAATACCATTCATTTCATTGTAGCATAAACCATGTAAAACTTGGGGACATGTAAGTGTCAGCACAAAACACCCTATTGCAAATTATCTCAGTTGATGACACTGAAGGTGAGGAAAGAGACAAAAAGTGAAATGAAAGTTATTGTTTGAAGACAGAAGATGCTAAAACAAGGTTGAAAAAACAGTGAATGGATTGAAAAGGTTTAGAAATCACAGAAACTGTGCTGATCCTCAAGGAAAATATATTTTCCTAAAGTGATGCCTGCAAGTGAGAAAAGACAGTGAACAAATAATTATCATGACAAGAGCGTTGGTGGAACAAGAAAAAGAAAAATCAATTCCTATTGCTGTATAAGTCTTATACTGACATCAAATTAACTGAGAATTGAGACAAGTGTATAGGCCTAGATTATGCCTATGCATTGAACATAATTAAAAGCTTCTACCTCTACTTCCCACCTTCTCTAAAACCAGTTTCTTTCTCTGCATCAAGATGCTACCCATCATCTCAGATTCCTCTGCAAGACAAACTGCTTGAGTTTTCACCGTTGTCATTTTTACACCTTCAGCAAACTGAGTATTTCTCTCTTTACAGCACTAACTAATTCTGAGAGTACGAAAAGTGCTACGTAAAGATTATATGGTCTTCGCTAAAACATCTATAGGAAAACCAAGATACTCACCTTTCTTTCTATGACTTTTGCAGATAGTGCCGGAAAGGACAGACATGCCTGACATAGGAGGCAGCTTTCCTGTCCAACCCAGCTCTTTCTCCCAGAGAGAGTTATATTTGGTCAGTTCCTCTATTTGATCTCTTCATTTCTTTTTACTATCCTGTCTGCAGTAAAGTCTGCCCTTCTTCTCAAAAGAAGCTCAAGTCAGGATTCCTATTAGCATTTTAAATTACATTTCAATTTCTTTAACACTATCTTAAGGCAGGAAAATAGGTAAGAACCTTTCAACAACTTCCTTTTACCTCTACAATTCACTCAAGTGAACAGGGCCACACAGAGCAGGGAGTAGCCGTGTCTTGCTGCCAAAAACTTTTTAGGAGTACTCTTTGGTGGTCTTCTAAATAAGTCTCTTGTGACAGAAGTAGGAAATTCATTAACTCTAATTCAAAGGCAGCAACACAGAAAGTAAACTACAAAATAAGGTATTTAGACCATTGGACTAGATTTGTTTTGGAAGAGTTCCCACTAGCAACTCAGAAATAGAGTAACAGATAATTACTGCCAAATAGTCTCTCTTGCATCACGGAACCTTGACTGACCTTGGGGAAGGAATGACTCCCCTTTCTATCCTCAGTTGCCCACTCAGATTTGTTTCAAAGAATGACACACTTTAGAAGCTGAATCACCCTTAGACACACTTCTCAAGTGGAGCTGTTCTGCCCTGGCCTGATGCACTTTCTTTTTACAAGTGCTGGCTGATGCCTATCTGAGGAGAAAAAAAAAACAAGAAAAAAAAACCCACAACACTCAGGACATCTGCAGGTTCCAAGTTTTTTTGTTCCAAGTTTTTTCATTCCAAGTTCCTGCACTCAAACAGTCGCTATTCTGGAGAAGATAGCAATCTTCGTTTGGTCATTTTGATTTCTTGGGGAAAACACTCCTCCCACCCCCAATAAACCTTTGTCCAACTTGAATAGTTACAAGTCAGAGAAACATCACTCTATATTTCAAATTCTCTCGAGCATTTCTGCACCTGGGGACAACTACTCCTACCCTATTCTCCCTCCTTAAGAAACAAATTTTATTTCCATTTTAAAATGGAAATGTGGGGGAAAAAAGTCATTCTACACTAGTGTTGTCTCTGGACACACTCTTATTTTGATTTATACTTTGAATCAAATATAACATTGTCTTCTCATTTTTTGTGTGCTGTTACACTAAGAACATTCACTGAGCTAACATTAGCACCCAAACATTCATCATATCACCTTGATTTTTCAGGGGTCCTGCTGTTAAATGCGGCTGATTTAACAAGGACTACTACTCTTTCCTAGAAGCAGCATAGTAATGAGTTTTAAATAGGAGACTTAAAACAAATTTCCTTGAAGAATAGTGAGC